AATAAAGATATTCCGTTACAATCGGTCAATGTATGCTATGCTAAAAAATGTTGGGGACCTTTTGAGTAAAATCCGTGACTTTCGGAAATATCCTTGCCCTAGTGTTAAAATCCGGGACTTTTCCGGGATTTCCATGACCAGTAGACACCCTGATCTGTTGTCGTTTAGAAAATATTAAACCGGTCCAGGACTTTTGGGACAGTCTGTATACAGTATTGTTCTTGAGAGAATCATGAAAAATGAAACATGAACCAATGCGGATAATTGTTTAATGCAAACGTTTTCAAGCAGGCTAATCTAATGTAAAAGCATTGACTATTGGATGTAAAAGTGAACAAACCAAATTAATATGAACAGTTTACAAATAGTTGAATTTTGAGAACATATGATAGAGTAGAGATAAAAGAAAAATATAATCAGGCTAAAAGAAAATTTAAATTCAGCTGAGTTGAATCACTTTTTTACTATCATAAAGTTTAAACCAGAGAGGAAACTTTGTTTTAAATTTAATTATTGAACGGTTGTTACCTTAGCCTTTGTTCTTGCAGAAAGAAGTTAAAATCATTAAAGCGTTAACAAAGCATTGACTCTAAACCTGCTAAACCAACCCTTCTCGGCAGTAGGTCAGTGAACAAAGACGGTGCTAGTGTGATGCCCTACAGTTGTCCGTCGCGCGCCCGCGCTCGCGTTTGCGAAGTCTGTATGTATAAACTGTATATAAAATGTTTAAATAGTTCTTCTTGTCTCCCTGATCATGCCACACACTGTGGCGAAATATATTGGAGGATTTTAACTTCATTCTGCAAGAACAAAGGCTAAGCAACAACAGTTCAATAATTAAATATTCTAGTTTTGCCACTGGGAAATACGTCAAATAATCTTTTGTTTAAAGTAGCAACTGGTGAGCCACTTCAGAATTTCCAGGTGGTTGCATTGGGTTTTGATGTGGGTTTACTTTGTTAAGGGCTTTAAGGGTATAGAAGCCAAAATTTTGGTTCTGTCTTCATGTTCGACATCAAAACGATGACCTGTCATTCGAACTCGTAATAAGTTCAAAGTCTGGCCAATGTATTCTTTTGGACAATGTTCACATTGTGAGTTTCAAAAATTGATCTACCAACATTTGGAAACACCTTGTTTGTAACTTTGCTATCGAATTCAGTTGTACTACTCATAATTTTGTAGACCACATCGTGGGGGGGGGCTTGTGGCATGGTTCACAGTCATTTTTAGAATTTTTTGAAGGCTGGGAATTTTGAATTTTGGGTCTCACTAACATATTTTTAAAACTGTATTGACTTTTAAAAATAACACGTGGTGGTCTGGAAAATAAATCTTCAGTACTGGGGGAGGATTTCATAAAATATGGAATGCTACTTTCATTACACTGTTAATTTTGGGTAGCCCAGGGTAATATTGAGTAATAAATTTAGGATCACTTGAAAAACAATTAAGACTACTGAACTTAAAAAAAAAACGAATGAATACAAAACTATTTCTTGGTTGAGTTTTTGTTATCTGATTTGATTAGTTTTTGTGGATAGCCTCTTTAAAATGAAAGCAGAGTTAAATTTAGTGATAAATGTTTCAAAATCAGACTTTACACTGCAGAGTGTTTTAGCCAATCAATAGGCCTAAGCTTTTTGGAATTGATTTTTTGATATAGGCCTACATTGGGTGGCAATTTTAATAATGTAAATGGTCCATTTTGTTAGTTTCTTTTATATGAATTTTTTTTTAAGTTTGTGATTGTCAATGAAGACATCACCGTCTAAGAAAGAAACAATTTCGCCTGAATAACTCCAAGTGAATTTCAAGCAAAAAAATTGGTTTAAATCTTGTAGAAACTTTTTTTGTGAATTAATTATGTGTTTCCAATCAATGAACATATCATGTAGACATCTTGGCCAAAGAAGAAGAGTTAAAGAATTGTTTGAAAGAATATTTTGCTCTACAGTAATATAGACCCATGAGAAGATAAGCATAGGCTGGGGCCAATCGTGTACCTATTGCTGTGTTTGTCTAAGAATCTGAAATTGTTCATGGTTAGTATCATGGTATCATTTGAATGAGAGTTGTAAAGAATTGTGTAGAAGATTTAGAATTTGTGGGTCTAGAGTTGTGCCTACAAAATTCAGTTAAGATATGATAGATATTAGATTAAACCCGCTGAGCCCCAAGTGTACAGACTTTGCCAGTGCTCATATGAGATTGACTAACCATTCGAATTCCATTAAACTTTTCACCATTTTATCAAAGTATGAAAAAATTTTGTTTTCCCCTTGAATTTAACTTATAAAGTGTTTTATCTTAAATCTGTACCCAAGCAACGGCCATTCAAAATTCCAGAATTCTTTTTCGGAGACCCTGTTTAATATGATAATTGATAATGTGTTACAATAAATTTTATTCCCATCAAAAAGGTTTGGTATCTCCTTAAGTAGCGTTTTAATATGCGGTTCATCATGTACAAGGTTTACTACTTTACATGACCAGAAATATTATCTAGACTTGCCTATTTAATATTTTAGCGAAATCTCTTCACAAAATCAGTACCTACATTTTACCCTCATTAGGATAATTTAGGTGTATTTTAAACTACTGTGAACCAGTCTCTTGACTCGCTACTCTCAATGTTCAACATGAAAAACACTGCTAGCAAATGAAAATAAGCATTGCTCTCCGCTACATTTCAGGCTTGCTGCTCCACGCTTTTTCACTCTTAGGAATGGTCCCAAAAAGTAAATAGCTGTATTGCATTTAAGTGACAGGGGCTAACAACTATATACAGGGTGTCCCGGAACTCTCTACCAATATTTTAGGGCATTGCTCCTGGGTAAGAAACATACCTAAATAGCATATTTAAATTGTCCGGAAGTCCTTAGTTACTTACAAAGCCGTCATTTTGTTTTTTTCAGTTATCAATTTTTTTCTAAAGAATGGAAAAACCTATGAAATGGAAACTTTGCACACACATTTATGACAACTAGATTAAACTACCAAAAAATTATGAAGATTTTTTAAATTCATAATACAAAATGGCGGCTATTTAAAATTTTGTTTCTTAAATAACTCGAAACCCGTTGATTTTACAAACATTTTAAATAGCCGCCGTTTTGTTTTATGAATTTGAAAAATCTTCATAATTTTTTGTTAGCTTTGTCTAGTTGACATAAATGTTTGTGCAAAGCTTCCATTTCGTATGTTTAAACCATTCTTTACAAAAAACATTATAACCTAAAAAAAGAAAATGGTGGCTGTGTGAGTAACTAAGGACTTCCGGACAATTTAAATATGATATTTAGGTATGTTTCTTAACCAGTTACAATGCCCTAAAATATTGGTAGAGAGTTCAGGGACACCCTGTATAAAAAAAGTACTCAAGTTATAAAAAACTTGTTTGAACTCTGTCCACTACCCTCCATCCAAAAACTAGTTCACAATAATATCACAAACCCACCAATCAACGAGTATGTAAAATTAAATAATACAGATTCTATTCATAATAAAAAATGAGTATTGCTAAATGATAGTATTAAAGGGTGTTGTTGAAGAAAATAATTCCTACTATCAAAGTCATTTATTTGGTAGCAATCCATCAAAGACAAAACCACAACATTACAGGAGTCCAGTCCAGATTATATCCAAACAATATATTTTAATTGACTTTGAAATCAAACTGGGAAAAACTAAGAACACGTAATCAATACTACCATTTACTTAGCCAGCATCTTAAAAATAGAATGATTCACCCATCATATAAACCTTAAAACCATCTCGTTCTAAAACACAGTCACAATATTTTTCTACATGTATTTGTTTAATGTTTGAACAATTGTTATACCACACTGACATATCACTGTTATTTACTTTTCTTTTTGCACGAATCATAAAATGTGACACATTTCTTACAGTATGAGAGTGATAATAAAAGTTCCTTAGTGCGATGGCGGACAATTTTGTAGTTTCCACAAGAGTTAGAGATTTGAGGCTTTTCATTTTTTCAACACTGATTAAGCAAGTATCTGAAATATTTGTACAGGAAGAAATACGCAATAGTTTGAGTTTACAGCATTTTTCCAGGTATTGGAATATTTTATCAGTGAAAAGCTCACCGAGCACAGACAAGGATTCTAGACAATTACACCTTGGAGAAAGAAACACAACCATATCTTCTTCTTGAATACCTTTAACATAATTAATATTAAGTGATACAATTTTAGTGCATGCCTCTGATATCGACCTGAACTGATCTGAGGTCAACAAGGTGTATGATAAATTTAGTTCAGTGAGGTTGGGTAGAAAAACAATGTCGTCAAAGCATTGGCTTGGTATATTAGAACTATAGTCAAAACTTAATATTTTTAGGTCCGTATAGCTATCAGACAATTTTCTTGTGGTGTCTGCACCCATGTCACTGCAAAACTTTAGTTTGATTCCGACTATACATGGGCAAAATTGAACTAATGCACAGATAATATCATTTGTGTCTTTTCTAGACCGCAATGTAACATGCTTTAAGAATTTTAAATGGTGAACAATACCCTTAAATTTGCTTGGACTCATAGTACCGTCAACCTTAAAAACTAAATTATTCCACAACATTGAATCCCTTGCAACAATGTTCCAGCGTTTACAAACATACATGACAGAAATTGAGATGTCGTAGACATCAAGGTACGAAAACACTTCAAGTAGAATTTCATTGGGTAAACTGTTTACAGAAGCCATGGTATTTCACACAGTTTACAGTTATAAATTGAAAGTCACATTTAAAGTGTAAAAAATACAGGAAGTAAAAAGTAAATAATCTTACGCATGGATTCCTCCTAGACGTTTATGCAGTATATTCTTCTCAATCTACCACAATAGATATTTCTTAAGAAATTTAAGTTTAGTTCTGCAATTAACTAATGAACAGTACACATAAAATAAAAATAAGCCTATATCAAATGTTTTGAGTCCTGCAACAGCTTTCTTGTTGCTATGCTAAAAGTTACCTAGGTATATCCACTGATTTATTTAGCTTCTTGGTTGATTTCCATGTGGTTCCACTGTTAAAGTTTCACATCACTTTTGGAGTTATGGCAACAATAAATGTTCTTAAAAACCTTCTTAAGGCTGCATTTTGATTCTGTGACCTTGAATCAGAAAAGATTGATTACACAACGTTTTTACTTATTATAAACAATAAGTTTGATGACTTAGACTTTACCTTGCTAATTTCTAAACACTTTATACAGTCAAGAATCCGCTTAAAACCCAACCTACCTTCCTCACATGTCTAAATAAGAAATTATTAGTCTGCAAACAACTCGTTCAGATTTAAGATCCATTGTGCATGGAGTTTGTGCTGTTCGCTCTTCCTCTTACAGCCTTGTCTGATGTATTCGTAATGTTTGGTTCTGATATATGGACTCTTAGGACTCTCTCCATCAAAAACTGATTGTAATTTTTTTATCGGTGAAATTAGTATGCCAAAAATTTTTTTGGAAACTAAACCAAATACCTAAACGAAACAAAATATCACAAAAGCCACCAAGAGCCATTACGGTGTAACATGTTTTTTTAACCCATGTTACAAAAGGGTATTTTATTAAATCTGATGAAATAACCTGAATACAAAAATCATATTACACCTCAGCCTTAAGATAAATATGTTAAATATTTCTTTTACTTATCAGAAAGAATCACAACATCGAAAGTCTGGAAACCCCAGTTGCAGATAATTAGGAATTAGTAAAATCTTACAGCGTTTGAAAAGCCAGCCAGTCGGGCTGACATTGTCTGAGTGGGTATGTCACCGACCATGCGCCGTAGACTCTTTTGGCCGATTTCCAAATAGTCTTATAGACTTATAAAACTACACATTGATCAATTGCTGTCTACTTTGATATAAAAACCAAAAATTGTTAGTGCGGGACCGATCCACATATTTGATGTTCCATGGGCTTCTAAACACAGCACAGAAGAATATACTAAGGCTGTTACTCATTATAATCGATTAACTAATCCTGAAAGACTGTCAATTCCTGAAAGACCATCAACTCCCGTAAGACCATCAACTCCTGAAAGACCATCAACTCCCGTAAGACCATCAACTCCTGAAAGACCATCAACTCCCGTAAGACCATCAACTTCCGAAGGACCGTCAGTTTCCGAAAGACCCCCAACTCCCAAAGCAAATAATTCAGAGATATCAGTAGTTCAGGAAACAGAAACAAACAATGCCGAAGGTTCTGTTAATCAAGAGAGATCAAGGCGAAAAAGGCAAATGCCGTGCCGATACAAGGACTTAGTTCTTTCATAATTCCATTGAAAGTTAAAAATAGTGGGGGAAAAGGTCTTCTTTAAGACTGTTCAATATTTCATTAATATTTATTTTACTATCATTTGTTTTTCCATTGTTTTTGTTTTGTAAACATTCATGAAATAGAATTTGTGTTGAGTAAATATGCGTGTTTCTATTAATTATTTTATAATTAATTAGAGTCATTTTAGTATCGTTTTGATTAGGCCTATTTTGATAGAAAATGTAATGTTAATCTCGCCTTTAGGAGGAATACCACCACATAAACTTACAATAATTAGCCTATAGTTTTTTAACTTTTTTATGAAACAAATCTAGAGTTAAGTTTGTCAATGGGATTCCTTTCATTAACACTAATTTTGTTAAACCTTTCATAAGGTTTATAGTCTTAGACATAATAACTGGATCGGGGTGCCAATTTAGCGGTTTTGACCAAGAACTAAGCTTATCTCAACACACCTATATTTGTCTTTTCATATTTAATGAAAAATATTACAAATTTTGAATTAGGGAAGCCTTTTTATCATCACTAACCACAAGACCAAAGCTACCTTATTAAACCAGTATTTATAAAAAAAACAATCATATGTTTGCTGCAGAGTTAAATGGTATTTGGAAAAATTCAAATTATTTATTGAAAATAACATAAAGGAAAGCAAACAAAGACAAACAAAAAAACTGTTTTTTACACAAAAAATATGCACAGGGATATATCTCATGACAGACAATTTGATTTGAGTTTGTTTAAATTTTGCAATAATTTGTTTTACACTTGAACTTTTCAAAGACTTATGTCCCTACAAGCCACTAGTTATCTATTAACATTTTAGCGAAATCTACTCTTTACAAAATCTGTACATTTTACCATCATATTAGGATAATTTAGGTGTATTATAAACTACTGTGAACCAGTCTCTTGAATCAATACTCTCAACGTTCTACATGAGATACACCACTAGCAAAATAAAAATTAGCATTGCTCTCCTCTACATTTCAGGCTTGCTGCTCCACACTTTTTCACTCTTAGGAATGCAAAAGGAATTTTAAATAGCTGTATTGCATTTAAGGGACGGGGGCTAACAACTGTATATCCACAAAAGTACTCAAGTATTAACAAGTTGTAAAACTCTGTCCGGTACCGGCGGTACCCTCCATCCAAAAACTAGTTCACAATAATATCACAAACCCACCAATCAACAAGAAGTATGTAAAATTAAATATTACTTAAATAGATTATAAATGTTATGATAGTATTAAAGGGTGTTGTTAAAGAAAATTCTTCATAACTATCAAAGTCATTTATTTGGTAGCAATCCATCAAAGACAAAACCACAACATTTACAGGAGTCCAGATTAAGTCCAAACAATATATTTATATTGAATTTGAAATCAAATTGAGATTGAGAAAACCCAAAAAACATAATTGATACAACGATTTACTTAGCCGCCATCTTAAGATTAGAATGATTCATCCACCCTATCAACCATGAAACCATGTTGTTTTAAAACACAGTAACAATATTTATCCAGATGTATTTCTTTAATGTTTGAACAATTGTTATACCACACGGACAAATCATTGTTGTTTACTTTTCTTTTTGCAGAAATGTACAATTTTGAAACATTTCTTACAGTATCAGAGTGACAATAAAAGTTCCTTAGTGCGATGGCGGACAATTTTGTAGTTCCCTTAAGAGTTAGAGATTTCAGGCTTTTCAGTTTTTCAACACTGATTAAGCAAGTATCTGAAATATTTTTACAGGAAGAAATGTGCAAAAGTTTGAGTTTACAGCATTTTTCCAGGTATTGGAATATTATGTCAGTGAAAAGCTCGCCACAAACAGACAAGGATTGTAGACAATTATACCTTGGAGAAAGAAACACGACCAGATCATCTTCTTGAATACCTCTGACATAATCAATATCAAGTGATACAATTTTAGTGCATGCCTCGGATATCAACCTGAACTGATCTGAGGTCAACAAGGTGTGTGATAAATTTAGTTCAGTGAGGTTGGGTAGAAAAACAATGTCGGCAAGGCATTGTCTTGGTATATTATAACTATTGCGAAAACTTAATACTTTTAGGTCAGTATAGCTATCAGACAATTTTCTTGTGGTTTCAGCACCTATGTCACCACAACATGTTAGTTTTAATCCAACTAAACATGGGCAAAATTTAACTAATGCATCGATAATATCATTTGTGTCTGTTCTCCACTGCAATTCAACATGCTTCAACCATTTTATATGTTGAATAATACTCTTAAAGTTAAAATCTCATGGCTTAGTTCTGTCTACCTTAAAAACTAAATTATTCCACAACATTGAATCCCTTGCAACAATGTTCCAGCGCTTACAAACAAACATGATAGAAAATGTGATGTCATAGATATCAAGGTACGAAAACACTTCAAGTAGAAGTTCATTGGGTAAACAGTTTACAGAAGCCATGGTAATTCACAGTTTGTGTTTAAAATCAAAGGTCACTTTTTAATGTAAGAAATACTGGAAATTAAAAGTAGGCTATTAATCTATGGGAGGGGGGTCCTAGACGTTTATACAATCAAAATGTACAGTATAGGCTACACATAAGATTATGGTAGGTCTATATTAAATGTTTATACCCTGCAACAGCTTGCTTGTAAAACTATGTTAAAAGTTACCTAGGCTTATTCATTCATCTATTTAGCATAATCATTAATCTTCCATTTGGTTGGACTGTTAAGATTTCACACCACTATTAGAGTTATGGCACTACGGAGACAGTAGACAATGTTCTTGTAGACATTACTAAGGTTGCATCAAGATTCTGTTACCTGGAATCAAAAACACCACAATCACTTAATGTTTTAGGCCTACCTATAATTAATTAAAGGTTGTTCAAAGGTTTATTACAGACATTTTTCATCACAATGGTAAAAAAAAAAAACAGTACACAACGTTTCAAGGCCTGGAATCTGATCCCTTCCTTAAAAAAAAGTTTAACTAACACATTACAACTAACAATATACAAAAGACCAATTTAAGTTGGAATACAATACAGGGAGTAGTAGTCTATTGTCGGGACCACATAAGTTTGCAGTTGAGGGAGGAGCCTATTTACCATATGGTTTTCAATGAACCAATGATAACGGTGTGGTGTTGCCAAATCTAACAATACCAGCTGATTTGAAAACATAGCTTTGTATATTTTTATTAGTGTTGTCAATGGGTGATGTGGCAACGTCGCACTAGCCTCGTCTTGTGATTGGCTGCCACCAACTGCAAACTTACGTGGTCCCGACAATAGTCATGATAAAACGTGCAAAAAAAACCAATCACAACACACAGTAGTTTGGTGGAGTTATTGCGAACTGTGCAATTAGTGTTCCTTTGTGTGAGCTATTTTTACCTTACATTGGTTTATTAGTGTGTGTGCGTTTAATTAGTGGTGGTTTAGTGTGTGTGTAATTAATTAGTGTTTATAAAGTGTTCCAAGCAATTTGAGATATGCAGACATTGTTCGGCATCAACCTAAACCAGAGGAGACACTTGTCACTAAGTCAAATGTTGGTAATAATGAGGTTTGCTCAGAAAATTTCACAGTTGTTAAATCTAGGAAACAGTCCAGACCTGAAAGAAGTGCTTCCAATAGAGGTGAATATAGTAGGCCTACAAGCAAAAACGGCAGTAGATTTGTAACGGGGAGTAAGGCCGGTGTTGGATCACATGAACATAACCTTAAGATAGTTTCTCGAAAAGTGTCTTTGTTTGTCTCTAGACTTAGTCCTTCTACACAGTCAGAAGATATCACTGACTTTCTTACAGGTCGGTATGTTTACTGTTGAAAAACTGACAAGTACTTTTCCTTTAAAGTTGGACTTCACTCGTCTATCCTAGAGGAGGTATTCAAACCCGACTTTTGGCCTAGGGATGTATTTGTGTCAAGATTTGTGTCAAGGCGCCCTAAGCAAAACTCTCAAGACATTGTTGTTGATCCTGAACTTCCTATAAACACTTCAGTTGTGAATCTAAACCAATCAGCTTTTTTAGATTTTCCCGAACAGGAGAACTCAATAGGCTAGTTAGCAATAAGACTAGGCCTATTATGTGAACATTGGCTATTATCTAGTCAACTTGATTTGGTACAAATTTGCGGTTTTACCCACTTGAGGAATTGCTTCAAACCCTTCTTTCAACTAAGCCGGACTACAAGTACATCTTAGCAGGAGACCTAATTGATGTTGGTACAAAAAAAAGCAGACGACTGGGCTCCACAAAACACTCTGCGTTCTTTTAACTTATTCTGTTCCAACTTTGAGCCAACAAGGGGTGTGAGGTGCCTCGACAACATTGCAGTTAACTTTCAGAGGAGCGACTTCGCTGTCTGCATTGGAAACTTTGCCTTGTCAGACCATTTAGCAGTTTGCCTTAAGGTGGAGATTCAACAGGTTGTCAAACCTACAACGGAATACAAAGTAAAGAGGAATTATAGTCCTGTTAACCAAGCAAAATTGATCTCTACTGTCGGTAATATTGACTGGCCGGGTCTGGTATCAGATGGCAGGCATACCAGCAACAATCTTTTCACCATCCTGTTTGATCAGCTCCAAAAAACTATCAATGAATGTTTCCCTCTCAAGAAAATATTACCAAATTATCAGAGTAAAAAACCTAGACGAAAAAATCGTTGGTTTACAGCAGAGCTTTAAGTCCAGCGTGACTTAGTCCTAACAGCTTTTGATGCCTATAAAATATCTAACTCACAGATTGATAGGTAAACCTATGTGACCCTAAAAAGGACTAATAAAAAATCTCTTGCAACAGCCAAGCTCAACGCCAATGTAATAGAAATCGAATCTGCAACCAACAAATGCAAAGCTTTCCGGTTCATTATCCGTGGTAATGTGGAGAAGCCAAACACCAAACCCCCTACGATACATATCTCCACAAGACTTCAGTGATTTCTTCACGTCATCTGTGAAGCAGACAGCGGCACTGGTGACACCTTCGATTGCTGCTTCTACTTCACTACTTGAGAATACACCAGCTTCTCCATCATCCTTCAAGTTCAGTGCAGTGTCTTGTGAGGAAGTACATAGTGTTGTGCATAATATGAAATCCTCTTTCAGCACAGATGCATATAGTATGTCCTCTAACCTTCTAAAGCTTATAATAGTGCATATCTTGTTGCCACTCACTGCAACTGCTGCTTGCTCTCTGGCCTAGAGCCCATATACCCCATATAGCCCATAAACCTGGCCCAAAAAACTGAAGTTCTCAAAAGTTGTTCCAATTTATAAAAATGGTCCGAGGGAGAATCCTAATAGTTACCGACCCATTTCGTTAGTTCCTGTGATTGGCAAAGTGTTCTAAACCATAATAAAATCACAATTAATGAAGTTTTTTTAATACCATGGCCTAATATCTGATTGGCAATTTGGGTTTTGAACGGGTAGATGTGCCACGGATGCGGTAAGGCGCTTGGTGCAGCATGTGCTAATTTTTTTATGAAAACACCTCTCTTACTCAGGCAACTCTAGTTTACCTAAGTAAAGCGTTTGATTGTGTTCCCCATGTAACATTATTTATTAGTTGCTGATACATTAAATTATGCACTGTGGCACGTTTTCACTTTTAGACACAATGGGATTATGTACTATGGGATTATGCACTATTTCATTACCAGATGTTGAGGCATTAATGGTTAAGGATTGGAATGAAGACGATGACACAGAAAACGTACTACTATAACTCAGAATGCCAACCGCATGGTAAAAAGCATTAAGTGTTTTGAGAGAGCTTTGCCTGTCAATCCGTAGGCAGCGCCACCAGCGTTGCTATGCTATTGCATGGTAACGCTGGTGGCGCTGCCTACGGATTGACAGGAAAAGCTCTCTCAAACCGCTTAATGCTTTTTACCATGCGGTTGGCATTCTGGGTTATAGTTGTACGTTTTCTGTGACGATGATCATGTCGGCAGTGGCCTAGCTTCTATTAGCCTACTGATATTTTACGTTAATAAATTCTATTTTGTTTTATAATTTATGTTCATGTGATTAATAGTTTATGTATCGTATTTGATTTATTGTATTTTTTAAACAGCACCAAAGTCCATTTTCTTTTTAAAATCTAGTTATTGCATATTGTACCGTAACTCTGATTTTGCTCTCATGGCGTTGTGTGTGGTTTTGTCTGTTTAGTATAGAATGTAAACAACTGACAGCTGTTTCCACTCCACAAACCTTCCACCCCTTTTAGTGTTAGTCGCCACTAGAACTTGGACTCGTCCATACCACAAATATGTTAATAAATCAACAAAACTGAAGCTTAATATTAATTACTAGTGGCGTGTAGGGGCCTTTGCCCCTAATTTAGACTGACTACAATAAAACTATATGTAAAAAGACAAATACTTAAAATATGTTTTTAAAAATCAATTTTATATTAGGCACTGCACTTAAAATTAAGATTTTTTCTTGTTTTATATCTTGGTTTTCCTTCCGTTGGAGTCGTATATTAGTTGCTGTGTGTCAATGAAATACAAATTGTCCATATGAAGCACATGAAGGCAACTCCCTATTTCGCGGTAGTAAGTCATAAATATATCTATGAATTTGTCCCTGAATTTTAAAACAGTAAGGCCCTTTTCCCAGAATCTCTTTTTGTATAGCGGAAACCGACGCCAAAGCCATTGCACTGTTGTATTGCCTTATGTTTTTTTTTTTTTTTAAGTTTGTCATGTAAAAACAGTTCGTCATTTACTTGTGGTTGGGGCATGTTAAAGAGTCCATTGTGGATACATGCGTTGATATGTCCATTTGTGGCCTCCTCTGCGGAGTGAAATGCGCCACAACGTGTGCAAGTGCTGTGAAGAGGACCTAGATTTTGAGAAACAACACTCAACTCATTTTCCAGCGTTCTTCTGAAGGCAGGTTGTAACTTGTAAACCAGCGTGTGGATTTCTTTCATAGTTAGGCCTTAGACGCTCTCCTTCAGCATTTCTTGTGTCAGTTGAATTCCTGGCTCTTCCACGTCTTGCAGGTCTTCCCCTACCCTGTCTAGTTACTTCACTCATTATAAAAACGGAAAAAATTAAACAAATACATTTCATTTTGAAACGTTATTTAACAACATTGACTTTTGGAATAAATGTAAACATTGCAAATAAATAAGTAACAGCTGATTAGAATGCAGACGTTTTTCAGTCCCCATACTTTTCTTATGGTGGATATTTTACGTTATATCTCGTTTTCTGGTAACTTTATGGGAATTCTGCTATTTTCCCCGAGTCCCTGGGGTCAAGACCTTTAATTTAAGACCTCTCCCACTTCACTTTTCTGCGACTTACCAGACGTCCACAATTTTCTGGTAAAAATTTTGTCTTACAGAATTATATATATAGATATAACTGTACGGCTACTTAGGAATCTCTCCGACCAAAACTGATTGCATTTTTGGATTCAGCGTTAAAAATACTGTAAGTAAACATTTAAAAATTACATCAAATCCCAGTGTACTTAACCCTTTGAGTGCCAACGTCCGGGGAACCGGACGTTTTTAGAACGAGCCAAAAGTGCCAACGTCCGGTTAGCCGGACGTTTGAAAAACGCGATATTAAAACGCGAAAAAGACGATTATATGCACATATTTTATATTCTTTTGAAAGAGAAAAGACTTCCTCTTTGTAAATAATGCGTTAAATCGGCGATAATTGTAATCATTCACTTGTTATAGTACTACGTTTTCATATGTTGTAACACAGAGATCAAGATGGCTGTCACAGCTGGGCGCGTAATTGTTGACATCGTATTTCACTGTCTGTAAACAAGTGTTT